CGTTCTCAAGAATGACTATAGTAGTAGTATGCATGTTGCTTTGTTTCTTTGGAATAGAAACATACGTGGATGTCTGGATGTGTGTGGTACAGAGAAATGTGATATATTGTTTTCTAGAGTTTAAGTATTTTTCTAAATTTACATTTTTAGGTCATCTGTGCTAGTTGATATGACATCTGTACACTGTTCTCTCTAATGGAGACCTAAAGTATCTCCTTTGAAATGTTTTACGCTTTTAGTTTTCTATTTCATAACAAAATCATTCTCCCAAAGCATTTATTGTTCAATGTGGTAGGTTTTATAGATTATTATTATTATTATTATTATATCAAAATACGCTTATATTATAAAAGAGCTGTAGTCTTTATTAGGTGCTGTTAAAGTATTTTTAAATGTGTTTTTTATGATTATTACAATTATAATTATGAAGTGGAATGCTTCAGAGTTAGTGAAGGTATATAAATATGTAATGTCACAATTGCCATGTAAAAAAACAAGGGTGCTATGCGGAGTATTGCAAGAGCTGAGTGAATCAGTTTGTTTTTAAATAAAAAAACAGCAGCCCACGTTGTTGTAAGGGTTAGGAAATCTTTTTTTATATATAAATAGGAACTGTAAAGAAATAATGAAAGATAAGAAAGATAAATTCAATATTGTTAACACTGATCAGCAAATTGAACAGTGCTTTAAAATGAGAAAAGGCTTACAATTGTACTCCGTATTTATGTTCCAAAACAAAGCAGGGTGAAAAAATAAAGATAAGATTAAATGATGAAGTATTCTTACTTGACCTTTTGTACATAACCAAGCTGTATATAGTGAAACTGTAAGAGAATATAAAAAAAAAACATGAAAAAAGAATACAGAATTATGGCAATAAGATTTTCTTTTGTTTGTATTTCCTATTAGCAACCTCTGATCCTGTTTCATTATGTGCCCTACAGAATTGTGAGTAGTGATATTCTTACAAAGTCAAGATGAGTTAAATGGTGTTGGACATGTAGCACGTAGTATAAAACCTGATGTGGAAAAAACGTGTGGATGGGGCTACATTTTAATAAGGTAAGGTGTTAAGGAAATTTGTGCTGGTGGTGATCTTTCGAGTGTAATTAACAAAGAGGTTCAACTTGGATGTCTAGAATATCACTGTTTAGTGTCAAAGCCTGGGAAGTTGCTCTGCCAACTATCGGCAGCAGTACATACGCCCAACACGCAACAAAAAATATTCGGAGGTTATTGCATATATTGTATCACTCATGGTTGCTAACAGCTTGTCTACGTTTTGCCTCTATGCTCCTAATTCCTTTATGCCCTGCGAAAACGCAGCTCTAAGCTCGAAGCGGAACTGAGGTTTTCTGAAATGGACCGAATGCCACTATTCTCGAAAGTTTCGATACTCCAGTAAATTACGTCACTGTGCTCGACTACCGCCTTATCTGTAACGAGGTTATTCTTGGCGACAACTTTCGTAAATGATACTGCATCTCTGTTCTCGTTTTATGCCGTTGGTTTGACCCGTTAAAGCCCAATGGCTGCCTGCTTTAAGGGTCAATAACAGTGCATATTTTTCTTATTGGTTTCTTATTACGTGAAGTTCACAGGGATTATTTAATGAGATTTCAGGTTTTCGCGGCGACGAGTATAGAAATAGTTTTAGGGTTGTTTAATTATGTAATCTGTTAGAAGTTACTGACGTTTCAGAGGTGTTTACTGCCTCCATCATCAGGCGCCAGGATTTGTTTTCATGGCGGTCGGTCTTCTGGGTTGTATCGCTGTGTAGTCTGGTAGAAGTTTGCTGATGTTTTAGAGGCCCTTGTCGCCTCCATCATCAGGGCGATGAATGTTCGAACTTAGAATACATCGAACTTATGGGATTGTTTCGTTAAACGGCATTAACCAATTGTCTTTGAAGTTGAGAAGTGATGTGTTTTAGACTAAATTTAAGTAAGACAAGCTTCGGCTTCAGAAGGTTAAAGTAAATCATCAAGTATGCATAGAATATAATTTATTTACACTCCATAGGTCCTTCATACGCCTAAGCCAAGGATGTAGAATATGTCATAATACAAAAACAATACACCAAATTAAATACAAAGTTTCAACAGCTATTTGCAGACATATCTGATATAATACAATAAAGTAATCTTCACCATTATTATATGAATTTATAATAATTGATAATTACGAGTGAGATAAGAGATAGTCTTTCAGTGCTGGCTTAAATACTTTTTATGTTGTGATTTAAACTTGTTATGTTTGGAGGAAGATTATTGAATAATTTAATTCCAGTATAGTAAACTCCTTTTTTGATTTTTGCTGAGGTTACTGTTTGGCACATGAAGGTTATGTCTGCATCTTGTATTTATATTGTGTACATTTCAGTTTGAAAATTTTTTGTGTTGTACACAACAAATGATAATGATGAAAATAAGAATTCACTGCCTATTGAGAGAATGTTAATAATTCCCTACAAGAAGGGTTCCATTAATGTCTGCCATTATTCTAGTAGTTTTTTTGGACATAAAATGTTTTTTTCTGTCTGTTGAATTTATCCAGAATATTTATTCCATATGACATATATTTCTCTCATTTGAGGAATGTGCTTCATTCATGCATTCATATATGTTACATTCCTTGGATCCCTAAGTTAGTCAGATGACAATAGGATGTGGAATAAGTCATAATAATTCAATACAAGTTCCTCTGAAATGTTAGTAAACTTCTACCAGACTGAATGGTACTACAACCAAGAAGAGAGCTATCCTCCTACTTACCACCCTGAGAACCAATTATATATGTAGGAAATATTTATAAAATGTCGCTCTCATGACAATAGTTTTGTGGTGTTCATGTGTAAATTGTTATTGTGATGAAATGTGTATCAGTGAATGGTTGTTTCTCAAGGCATGCTAATAGTATTCCCATGTGATCTGCTGGTTTCTCAGACTAAAACCTGTAAGTGTTATTCAGGAAGTGTTACATGTTGCATTGTAATGGACTTTCAGTATGATAATTCTTTGTGATTTGTACTAGTGGATTGTTTTGAAAGTCAAACTGAAAATAGTCTTCATCTATAGGATGAACTTAAGATAAAATGTGTGTTACGTGAATTCCACAAGCTGAACTATGGTGGATATCCTGAAATCTTCTGGGCGATGCATAAGAGCTGTAGGCAGGTATCTTCAGCACCTCTTGCTGTGGTAAGTTATGTTGAAATTTATTCCATTTATAAAATGTATATGCAAGTAGTGAGGTGTGTTGGTAATGTTTATCAAGAAGGTGGTTTATTTGCCAGGAGCAACACTTATAAACTCTTATCTCTCTTTTGTACTTGGAACTCGTATTTGTTATAATTAAGTTTTATATTATAATGTGTGCCAGTCTCTGAGCGTGTGGTCTGAGGTGTGGGCCTTATGTGCTTGGAAACTGGGACCGTGGGTTCCAATCCCACTCAAGGCACGGATGTTTGTCAATGTCTTTCTGTGTTGTGCTGTCTTGTGTACAGGTAGAGGCCTTGTGATGGGCTGATCACTCATCCAAGGAGTCCTACCAAATGTCTAATGTCCAAAAGAGGTGTCCAAGACCCACACTGGATTGTAGAGCCACAGATGATGATGATTATATTGTGTAATTCAGATTTAATAATTTCTTGAATCAGATAAACTATTCATATGTTGTAACAAATACAAATTTGAAGTTTAACATGTCATTTTAAATGGGTGGTATTACATCATAATTTTCTATTTGTACTGAAAATACTGAAACTGGATACTGATTTCAGAAAAAAAAAAGTTGTGTCCAAAACACATGTACAGTCACTAGATATGGGTTTCTCTGTTTGTAAGTACTTTGGCTATGATGCTAGGAAAAAATTAACCCTGATCACATATCTAAGGGCCACTTGCCCATGCCCTCACTATTTCTTCTGCTGCCACTAATTGACAAGGATGGTATTATTGACTGATTGATTTCCAGGTTCAGTTTTTCTGTGCTGTTTTGTCTAACAATTTTATATTTATCTTAGTTACTTGTAGGTTTCCCATTTCCAGTCTTACTCTTTGAGTACCAAATAAGATTGCTCCTCGAACTAACTCGTATATCAAAACCATCCCATTATCAGAGAGATTTGAAACAATTCCTCATCTTTCTGAAGAATTTAAAATACAGATTCTTTATTAGTTTTTGAAACTCGTGCACATGTTATTATACAAATTATGGACACATTTGTCTGCATTTCAGATGATGACTGTACCTCCTTTTCTTCTTTATGTGTTAATGCTTCTTGAACATTTTTCATTCTGAGTTCACTGGTCTTTCAAACGATTAAGCAGAGATAGGATGAAATTAAAATTAAAATTTTTATTGAGTACAAATATGGTGTGATATACTCATGGGCACACCTATTTTTAAACAAAATCATTTCATACTTCAATCTGTGTATTTTCATATTTTGGGTATCTTCAGCACATACAATTGTTAGCCTTGCATTTCAAGAATTTATACATATTTTATAATTTTTGTGCATTTTGACTCTGCTTATTCTTTGTCCCTTTCATAGAGCACTGAAGTACTAATTACTTTTAGACTTATCATACAAGGGAATTTAAGAATCATGTTGAAGAAACAGAGCATCAGGATAATAGGATCGGAGACATATGGACCCTGAACGTGATGTTCTTCATCATAGCCACAAGAGGTGGTCATTGATCTATGTTCACTATCATTGCCGTGCATACGTTTTTGTAGAATCATAGTACCTTCTTTCATCATATAATTATAAACAGATATGAAAGGAGAGGCTTAGTTATCAATTTTTATAGACATATATACAGTGGTTTGACAGTTTTTATCTAATTTTGAGGCATAAGATTCTCCTCTGTAGAACAACTGATCATATCTAACAATATACATTTCATTCCATCCTAAAGACTTTCCAATTTTCTGTGATATTGGAGATGTAAAGAGGGAAATGACAGCCTGAACTGGAGGAGTTGATATGTTTTTCCAAGGGTATTTGTTGTCTGATATTGGCACTGCAACGTCTTCACCCCTCTGCAGCGCTCTTGCCATTGCCACAGTTGCAGCCACAAGGCCATGAGCAATACCTCTCTCGTAATAATCTATATGTGTGCTCAGAAACATGTGATCCAGTAATTTGGTGACTCCATAGTGTTCAAAGATATCCACTTTGTTCTCCATCTGCAAATTAAATTAGTTTTAAGGTGTCAATATTTTCTGAATCTAATGGGAGTTGGATGGAGGTGAAACTGGGTGAAATTTTGGCATTGTGGCTTCATGTATAAATCAGACTGCACTCAGAAACCAATTTCATTACATACTATGAACATAATTTGTTTACAAGTCCTATAAAATGTTTATAATTTGTCATCTTTATTCTAAATATTTCAGAGATCAGTTTTAGTTTTTTAATTGTCAGTTACAGGATAACTATTCCAAAATCATATTCATATTAAGAGGAGACAGTCAATTTCAAAACTTCTAGTATTTTTGACTCTGAAACTTGTACAAGGAAATCCCAACCTGTTTCTTCTTTAAAATGTCTAAAGGCCTCAGCATGAGCATTTTAAGCTACGTTAATTTAAACATGTAATTTAAATAAACTGTTTGCATAGTTAAAGTCAAGTCTTTGGGTGTAATTTAGAAATGCGGTCTGATTAAGAATTAACGTGAAAATATCAGTGTGTGTGTTATATTTCACATATCTGTCTCAAGAGGCTCCTTCATGTAATCTATCTGTTTATCATATTTTCCTGTTTAGAAACAACCCTTTGAATACTGTTTTCCACTGTGGCAACTTTATAACTTATTATGTCCATGTTTATTGGCATGACAGATTCATATCTTCTGTATTGTTTATCACTTATGTGTTACAGGGAATTACAGTTTGGTTATTCATATCAACTTCGGTTAATATGATGATTGCATTAAAGTAAATGGTATAACTTTTGTCAGAATGAACATGATTCTTGTAGACAATATAATATGGAAATTTCATCTGAAAAAACAAAAATCATGGCATTCTGCGGTAAAGAACCCATCCGAAGCAAAATATGTCTAGATAATAAAATTCTGGAAAGGGTGAATGAATTTAATTATTTGGGATACAATTTAATGGGTATTATCAATAATGTTGAGAAACATACCCGCTTATGCCTCTACAACAATATCGCCAGACCTGTCCTCTCATATGGAAGCGAAGCTTGGACTTTAAAAAAAAAACAGGATATTAGCAGAATAACAGCTTGCGAAATGAGATTCATGAGAAGAACTGCGGGATACACCAAACTTGACCACATGAGAAATGAGGACATTATGACAGAACTTCAGATGGAACTTGTAATGAACTACATTTTGCAATATCAACAAAATTGGACAAATCATGTGGATAGAATGACCAACAGTAGATTCCCCAAACGCAATTTTGAAATACCGCCCTGCTGGGAAAAGATCTCTCGGCCAACCTCAGAAGAGCTGGATGGAAAATACGAGACCATAACAGGCCTCGTGGGCTAATATGGGAAAGGATGATGATGATGAACATGATTCTTCAGAAAATAAACCCGCAGTAGGGCCTTGTAGCTGAGCTGACTGACCATATAATTTCAGTGTCACATATGTTTGTCATCTTCATCTATAGATATTCCATCACAGGAACTTAGGGGTAAATATGAAATATAAACATTGATTTTTTTTTCTCAATGAAAGCCAGCAATCTCTGAATTTGCGGAGACAGCGAGTAACATACTCATTGATGGATGTATAACTTACTGTACCTGGATCATAAAATTGAGGAGTTCCTTGTATGCTGGATCTAAATCTGGAGCTTTCATTTGATTGTCAAGGAAACCAGCACAGTTTGGATCTCCTTTAACCTGAAAGAGCAAAGAATTGCACACAAACTCTTTGATATGATAAGAGTAAAGCAGGAATTCGTAATTTTCTGTCTGTGGTTCTACTCACAGAATTATGCAAGTGCTGGATTAAATGTATATTATTAAAAGGGATATTAATATATTAGAATTCTGTGAAAAGCACATGGAATCTTCTAATAAGCAAATATATGAGTAGGTTTACACTCAATAGACAGAGGATGCATCTGTGTGCTCTATGGGCTGAAGTGAGGAAGTGTAGGACGTGAATGGTTTATTGCGTTGGATCTGAATGTTGTCAGCAGTGTCACTGTGACAGAGGTTTTTAATTTATATAATTTTGCACTGATCTTTTGATCTGGAAAAGGTAATCAAAAGACCGTATATTAAGACCGTACAAAATGAAAATGTACAAAAGAGAAGCTAAAGTATGTGGCCTTTTGTGTGATTGGAATGGAAATGACCAAACTGAAAATAGTAACAAATGGAGAAATAAATAAAGCAGGTAAAAATGTTAAATATTTATGTTTGAAGTTCTTCTTAGAAGGCAACAGATTGCTGTTAATAGAAGGAAACAGGTACATTATAACAAACTTCAACAGATGTAAGGAAAAATGTCAAATTAAGAGTACACAACACAGTGGTGAAGCTGGCTGTTGTATGTGGTAGATATGGTAGTGAGACCGGGTGCAATGACACCAGTGTAAGAACGGCATAAAAGCGGGATGAACCACATTCTTGAGAAGTTCGGCTGGGATTCATTTAGATTAACTCATGCACCAGGATAAGGAAGGAAAAACAGATTTTGCATCCAGGAGAATTGGACTGAATGAGAGCACAGTTCGTGTGACAGCTCAGGCAAGTTAGTCGCTGGTGTTTCATTGCAGGGACCCAGATTCAATCATACAGCAGTCCACATAGAAATGGTAGTGGACAAACTTTTTCTCCTAATACTTTGATTTCTCCCTGCCAGTCACAAAATTCTCCATACTTATCTCTCATCATAAAACTTCTTATCCTTAGGGCTGATAGTAGACTCATTTGAGGCCAAGGACTTGACAAGGAAAGAAAGAAAGGTGTGGCAGGTAAGGGTTTTGGGCACACTACACATTTGGATCAGAACAATGAGGTGGTTTATGACCTGGATTTTATTCAATGCTGCACCCACAACGGTATCACTCTCCATTTCAATTGCAACCACGGAGACGCCATCCTCAGCAATTAGTCTCACTAGATTCTCGAACTGTCGTGTCGCTTTGTCACTCTGCGCCAAACCAATCGCCTTGCAGACACTTTCATTGATGATGAAAGAATTCCTCATCACTGTCAGAGCTCCAGGAAGATACTTAGCACTTAAAGTCACCCATTTTAATTTTTTCTCTGTGCTCTGTCCCCACACTCGAGTCGTCATCTTTTGGTTTATTGCGTTGGATCTGAATGTTGTCAGCAGTGTCACTGTGACAGAGGTTTTTAATTTATATAATTTTGCACTGATCTTTTGATCTGGAAAAGGTAATCAAAAGAGAAGCTAAAGTATGTGGCCTTTTGTGTGATTGGAATGGAAATGACCAAACTGAAAATAGTAACAAATGGAGAAATAAATAAAGCAGGTAAAAATGTTAAATATTTATGTTTGAAGTTCTTCTTAGAAGGCAACAGATTGCTGTTAATAGAAGGAAACAGGTACATTATAACAAACTTCAACAGATGTAAGGAAAAATGTCAAATTAAGAGTACACAACACAGTGGTGAAGCTGGCTGTTGTATGTGGTAGATATGGTAGTGAGACCGGGTGCAATGACACCAGTGTAAGAACGGCATAAAAGCGGGATGAACCACATTCTTGAGAAGTTCGGCTGGGATTCATTTAGATTAACTCATGCACCAGGATAAGGAAGGAAAAACAGATTTTGCATCCAGGAGAATTGGACTGAATGAGAGCACAGTTCGTGTGACAGCTCAGGCAAGTTAGTCGCTGGTGTTTCATTGCAGGGACCCAGATTCAATCATACAGCAGTCCACATAGAAATGGTAGTGGACAAACTTTTTCTCCTAATACTTTGATTTCTCCCTGCCAGTCACAAAATTCTCCATACTTATCTCTCATCATAAAACTTCTTATCCTTAGGGCTGATAGTAGACTCATTTGAGGCCAAGGACTTGACAAGGAAAGAAAGAAAGGTGTGGCAGGTAAGGGTTTTGGGCACACTACACATTTGGATCAGAACAATGAGGTGGTTTATGACCTGGATTTTATTCAATGCTGCACCCACAACGGTATCACTCTCCATTTCAATTGCAACCACGGAGACGCCATCCTCAGCAATTAGTCTCACTAGATTCTCGAACTGTCGTGTCGCTTTGTCACTCTGCGCCAAACCAATCGCCTTGCAGACACTTTCATTGATGATGAAAGAATTCCTCATCACTGTCAGAGCTCCAGGAAGATACTTAGCACTTAAAGTCACCCATTTTAATTTTTTCTCTGTGCTCTGTCCCCACACTCGAGTCGTCATCTTTCTAAAATCATAAGATATTGTTAAACATCTTGATAGCAGGAACCTGAAAATAGTCTGACCGAATCTATTATAATGCAGCTTTCTCTGGAAGGGAAATACTGAATGAAAGTGTTTGAGAACTTGGTGCTGAGAATAATATTTAGACCTAAAAGAGAAGAAGCACTCAGGAGGATAAAGCCAACTGCATAACATGAAGCTACCTAATTTGTTCTCTTCACCGAATATTATTGAGATGATCAGATCAAGGAGGGTAAGGTGGGAGGGGCATAGAGGGCTCATGGGAAGTTCAGAAATGCAGGTAGAGTTTTAGTCAGAATACTGTGGGGAAAAGAAGAAGAAAAACAGTTGTTAGAAGTATATGTAGATGGGTGTATGATATAAACGTATGTCCTTGGTAAAAAGGGCAGGAAAGTGCAGACTTTATTCAAGTGTTTCAGGATATGGTCGAATGGGTTCCATGACAAAACCTCACACGGAAAAATGTTCACACGGACAAATGGCCATGTTCACAATACTATAAGATATGATAACCATGATACTATCAATTTCTCAAGGACTTTGCTCTATGCTGTTGAGCAGGGGAACTGTATATTTCTTTCAGTTAGAAATCTATTGGTCCTGAGTCACGATTAGCAGCAAGTCATTAAAAGCAAGTTTTAGCACTTCAAATGTAAACCGGGGGGGTTGACCCGCGTTATAACCGATGCCTATCAATTTTTTCCAATTCATTGACTCTCGTTCCGAACGGACTCCGAATATATACGCAAGTGAAATCCGACGATATTTGCGATATTTACCACGCTCTATTCCGTGATTCCGTGCATTAATTTTTTTAATCCAACCTGCACACCCAAAAAATCCACTTGGGAAGAGTTAATACTAATGTTTGAACAAACGAATGTTTAAAAAATTATTTATTTTCACAAAAAAACATGTAGCAATAGATAATTATAAAACAATCAAGGAATTTATTTGATCACTTCTTTAAACAGTCTGTGATTTTTTTTTGTTTTTACGGGAGAATCGTTTTTACAAGATCATGTTTTTTAAAGACACTGATTGCAAAAATTGTACTTGCTCAATCTCCTGGTGTGCCTCTGACCACCCAATCACAGACCTTGTACTGCTTCCTGATCTGTGGGAACTTCGTCAGGCAGCTCCTCTAGTTCTTCTGTTTCCCCATCACTTCCATCCGCCCTTTTCGCGTTGGTGACGCTTCCAACAAAGTTTTCGTCACACACTAATTCTTCTTTGTCAATATCGATAATATTCTCTGAGAGTTCCTGTTCTTCGAGGGTATCTCTAACTAATGTATAGCAATTTGTCTACTGTTTTGTTCTTTATCGGCCACAGTTTGATTCTCTCCATCAGCTGTTCTCTCGCAAACACTGGGCCATTTGAGTGGGGAAGCCTCCTGCAGTGCAAGGTTTGCAGAAGAACGTTAATATTTTTCTCGGAATTTTTTCCAACGGCAGTGTCAGGCAGTAAGACTCGCGGTATATCCGGGGAGCGGTGTATATAACAGAATTTTCATAAACGTACCACCCAGTGGGACATGTAGGTTCATACCAGAAAGGAATACTCCTCTATTTAGTGTAATGTAGTCCTGAATAACAAGTTTCGTAGAAATCTGTTGAATACTTTTAGAGTTGAAACTTACTGACAGACATGAGTTTCCTGTAATGCGTTCATTTTGTGGAAATAGTGCAATACATTCATCAGAATATAAAATTCTAGTCTAGACGACTCTTAAACTGATAACTTTACGAATTCCCGGAAGACATGACAAGATAATGGAAAGTCGGAACTGGCGACGAAAGGTATTTTTATTTATTTTTGAGTTAAAGGAATAGTGTGGATAGCACTTACCACAGTGGAGCTGGCTCTTTGCTGCTAGGCGACACCGCGACTCGGAAGCAAATACTGCCAAAATTGTGGCATGCGCGCTATATGACCTTACTTTTACGTCCTACGTGCGCAAAACGAACTCCCCTGTCGTGAAAGGAATATTACGGCTTTACCATCTTACCTTGATGCTTGTTATGTAAATACAGCACATGACAAGGTCAGGCAAAAAACTCTTGTATGTGGTGCGGCCGGCCGGCCAATCGTTTGGACTGTAGGAAATCCATCAGTTCTGCCTGTGCGACATAGCACGTGACAGGGGGAACGCACGTGTGTGACGATACCAGCAGGCCAATCGCTTAGTTGCTGCTGCTATCTCGTGTTCTTCTGTACTGAGGACAAATTTGACTTCTTTGCAAAAAATGTCGCTGCTGCCAAATTACGAGCATTAGGAAATAATGAACGAAGGATTTATGCAGAGAAATTAATAAATGACGCCCTTTTTGAAGTAGAGCTTAGTCCATAACTTGCCTTTTTTATTATTTTTTTTTTGCAATACACACGCAATAGCTGCATATGCAAACAGTTCATCAACTGTAGACATGCTTTAACAACTAAACATGACTGCACGGCACTCGGCGACATAGGCTGGAAGACCGTGACTGTGGCACGCAGCCTGCCGGTTTATCTGCGCGTGTAAGGGGAAGGAAAGGGAGAGGGCAAACTGTGTGTGTATGGGGGCCTTAGTCCTTTTCCTTGTTATGTAACGCAACGCGAAGAGGACATGTTTCTTGCCACAGCGAAAGTTATATTTTTGGCTGTCCTGCTGTAAAACTCTACTTCGTAGGATTTGATGTTTTCACTTGTCTGTCTTCTGGGTCGTTGAACCTTATAGTCTGGTAGAAGTTAACCGACGTTTCAGAGGCCGTTGCTGCGATGATCGCCGTGATGATGGCGGCAGCAAGGACCGTACTTTGCCTTCACACGTACTTTTATCTGACACCGACTACAATGAATATGGAATTGAGAAAGTTTCCAATCAAAGCCAGTGGAGTGCAAGGACAATTTATAAATGCCGTCCATAATATGCTGTTGTTGACGGTAGATTGATTGTGTACTGTTCTGCCACGTTATCACTCGTATTAACGTTTCGGCTTCTCAAAGACTCCTCTGTGTGGAGTTTGTTGTTTGTGGCGTTCACATCCGACGTTTAAGGAGAATGGTAAAAGAAGCGAAACCTGCGATCTCTCAGCTGCTGGAGATTTTAAGAATTGAAACAGATAGCTTCTTTATTACATTAAATACTCTCTACATTTTGTTTTCACATGCGTTATATTAATTCAGTTTACAGTGTTACTTCACATTGAACTAAAGTTGGTCTGTTTGGCACAGTTTTATTTTACAGCGAACGCAAAATAACTCCGAGATTCATTGACCATTACAAATGCATTGAGATAGGAAAGTTTGACTGTGTTGTACCGCATTCTGATTGCGTTTATGAAGCGGATTTCGAGATCTGTTTGTCTGTGGCCTCGTTGAAGAAGTACAAGGTTGCGTAACGATGCTGATAAGCAGTTTTGGCGCAATGAAAGATATAATGCGAAGGAAGACAGGACTGGAAAATTTTGGGACACACAAAAGTCTAATCACCCCACCACAGTGTCGATATAACGAGTGATAATACTAGACCTTGTACAGTTTTTTTCTAACTGGACTTGCTTTCTGTACTATTACTCAGTATGAATATATCAAGTGTGTCGTAACACCCCGAGGACACCAAGAACAATTCGTCATAGTAAGGATACTCGTACGTGTATGTGTTTTTGTATGGGCCAATCTGCAAAGCATGACCAGCCACTGCCAATGGCTTTTATCAGTCTTTTAATTACAGAATCCTTCTCGTCAGAATTCTTTGTCCGCGGTCACTTCGAAACATCCTTATGTGATCCCCGTGTAAAAATAATTTGGGTCGATTCGTGACAGACTTGTTTTTCTGACAGGTAGACCGGATGCTGTTCCTAACACGAGAACAGGGTTACGACTTTGTTTCTATACTTCCACTGCTCACCAGATCTGATCACAGTGAACAGGGAGAAGGTTTTTGGTCATGAATGATAGAAAAAACATTAAAATGTCTTTACCCCTTCATGTGTTTGACGGTGTTAGTTCGTTCCTGTAATGTTAAATACTTGAAATGTATGAAATGGGTGAAAGTCGAAATGTGTTATTTAAAGAATAACAGTTGTGGAATACGGAAGTTCCGAAAAAATTTTCAGGTTTTATTTTTTGGGTATTTTTAAAATTAATTATACATTTTCAGGGAAATAGCTTACAGTGACAGTATTGTGATGATAATGGAATCCCGGTTGTTATAATGGGTTGGGGATGTGGCTATAATGAGGGAAACAGGGAATGTATATATAATTTTGGTGGGAAAGGTTTTGAAAAAAAAATACGCTAGGAAGATGGAGGAGGTTCTGGGACGAAAATATGAGGATGGATCTTAGGTTAGGTTGGGGTGGGTGGTACAGGCTAGGAACCGTGTCCAGTGGCAGACTTTGCTATTGGAGGTGAAGGCCCTTCGTCTTCTCTTGACACATTGGTAATTGCTTTTATATAGATATTGAATTGTTTCCTTTCGTTAATCCTCTGATGTTTTTACACTTGTAAAATACGTGTGTGGGTGTGTGTGAGGGGTGTTTTGTCATTTTTGTGACGAAAAGGGTTGGTTCCTGTGTCAGAATTTTTAAGAAACTCTGCCTTAGGCTACAACTTTTTTGCCCATGAGAATAGTTGTTGGGTGATCTGGACCTATGCGAAGACTGTAAGGTTCTCCCTCGAAGAGTAGCTCGTCATGATTAACGATGGCAAGTTGATCCCAACCAAGCGAATTGCCAATCTTCTGTGAGACAGTCGATGTAAATACAGCCATAAGCGCTTGTACCTTAGGTACAGAGCCTTTCTTCCAGGGATTGGTATTTTCTTGAAGTGGAGCGATGACATCTTCTCCGCTTGCCAAGGCATTAGCGACCTCTTCTGTTATTTGTACCAGACGCCGACCTACTCCTCTGCCATAGAATTCTGTCAGTGTGGCCAGGAACATGTGCTCCAGGATGCAGTTGACACCGTAATGAGCGAAAACGTCCACCTTGCCTTCCACCTATAAAAAGTATACAACCAGTTTGAAAATAAACACGACTTTTAGACTACAGTCTTAAAAGCAGTACTCTTTAGAGTGCATTTAAATGCCAAAGGCGTTTTTGTGACACACTGCGTGTGATGTCAGCGGGGTATCATTGATGGTATCATTGTTGCAACAGTTTGAACCAATATCAGTGTGTTTAATTACTATTTCATCTAATTAATATTTGCTGAAGCAGTAATGGAAATTCAAATGGCTGTTTTACTGCTACTCTGTATATCCTCTGAACTGAATGCAATAAAATTACTACACAGCATTCATTCGTATGATTTGAGGTTTTCACAGCGGTGAATATGAAGATTTCTTTGCCTTCAAATAACTGCTGACCTTTGTGAGGTAGTTCAGAACCTCCACGAAGGATGGGTCGTTGTCTTTCTCCTCTCGAAGTTGCTCCAGAATGTTCTTCTCTCCTGGTGGTGTCGGGATCTGCTGAAGACAGCAGAAATACCTATGTAGCAAAGGCACTCTAAAACAGCGTGATACAAGTTTTTTTATTCCCTGGGTCTTAGAATAGTTTTCCCATTGGACCAAGCCAAGAACCTCCTCTGACACTGTTTTTGAAAACTAATGCCCAGTTATAGTTTTCTTTAAAATGTTTATTCATAAACCACAAATTGTCGTAGTATATGCTCAAATATGGATGTTATTGAATTGTGCACAAATTGGTACAGCGTTACGTACATATTCTTACCTGTGAAAATTACATTTTACGGTAGGCGTTTAAAGTCAGTTAAATTTGTGTCAATAGAATCTCGTCTCCCCATAAGTTCTTCATGTACCCCCCATTTCAGCCTCCGTGATTTGTTGATTTTGTTAATATTTGGTGCAGAGCAGTACAAGTTATGAAGTTCTTTGTCATGCAGTTTTTTCCATCTTCCACTCTCTTAGGCCAAAATTCCAGGTGTAAAGAAGTCGGAGTATGAAGCTGAAGAGAACTGTTCACCTTGATCCAGCGCCAAGGTCTACAATTCCCTGCATTCCTTACACCATCATGCCAACTTAACTTAACTTCTTTGTATTAGCACATGAGAGTTTCGGGATGGTTTAGCCAGTAGCTACAGTGACTAGGCTAAGGGCTAGACGACCGGGGTTCGATTCCCGTAGGCCAAGATGTTTCTCGTTCAACGTCCTGACCAGCTCTGGGGCCCACTCATCTTTTTATTCAGTGCTCACCTCCGTCTAGTGATGAGATGAAGAATATATGGAGCTATGCCTCTACTAGGGACAGTTTTACCTGTTTCACCTTTGCGCAAGGGATGTGTGTGTAATGGGCAATTGACCTGAATCTTATTGAAAGCGACCCCAATAACTCGTCCAGTTGCCACTTCCACTGCCACAATGGAGACTCCGTCATTGGCGGCGAGTTTGGCAAGACGTTCAGTCTGGGCAGAGGCGCGCGTTCTCTCGTTCAGGCGGAGCGCCTTCGAAATGTTCTCGTTCGGAAAGAAGGACTCCCTCATGACATCGATAGCTCCTGCGAGTTGGTCTTCCCGCATGCTGACCCACTCCACCATTCGATCTTCGCTGCGTGCCCACACGCGACCAGGCATGATCTTTGTCGACAATTTGGGCTGAAGGACAAGACACCAAGCAGATTAGCCATGGCGCCACGTTTCCGATTGCGAAATCACAATTCCAATGTTAACCTGATCTGCCGCTAATTTTAGAATGCTGTTTCCCAAAGGCCGCGATATTTACTCATATGCTATTTTATTTTTGTACAAATAAACATAAACATTTTAAATTTCTGAACAATGGGTCACATTTATCCACCTGCTGGAAACACAGCCGTCAGCATCCGTACGCCGTTTCGGAACCACGTACTTAGGCATAATATGAACCAATAATATCAGTAATAAATTATTTGCAGAATATATTCTTAGTGTTTTTTTACTATAATACTTTAATTAAATATATTTATCTTCTGATACGAAGTACTTGTGCTGAAATGGCTTAACAAGCATATTTCATTTCTAAAGTTTCCCTGGGGAGGATCCCCGAACACCCCATATTACCTGTGGTGTTCCACACCCTCATACTCCTCTGTGTGTGCTATCAGTTAAAAGGCAGACGCAAGGTCTCGTTTAAATTGTGAGGTCACCAAATGCAGACTAAAAATGCTGAAGAGGCAGTCTTTCCAGACGTTTACGTTAGAAATTTTATTAAATCCCAAAGTTTATTGCGGTTTCTAAAAGGATACTATCTGACCAATACCAGAATTGTTCCCTTCCTTCCGCTTAAGAGGCGATAAACCATCCTACCGTCGGCTGTGTTGGCCACGTGTTTCCGTTCTGTGGTCTCCTGGCTCACTCTTTTAGCGGCTTCCGCTGCTCGGCGAGCGTTGTCCTGCCTGACTATCTGAAGAAATGAATATTTTAACTGCTTAGACTTAGCCATTTAGAAAACGTATTCCAGTAACGGAGACCCCAAGAACCGGACCGACAATGCATTCAAGTATTTGTGTACTAAAAGAAAAATCGCCCACGTTTAAACTTCCTTTCCTAGTGAACTTGCTCAGTTCCGGGGAAGTTAATCGTCATAATAAATCGGTCTGTCACGCATCACGAGACTTTAAGGCGACTTTCAGGGAGAGCGCCACTGAAGTAACTTGCGACACACATGTGACACTTATGTCCTAGCAGAACCGATTTAAACAAACTTCAAACTTATGCATGTCGTAAACAACGTGCCTTAAACAAAAGTGAAACGAAGTCCGTTGTCATTTCAGATAAAAGTAAGGTTGAAGAGTATTTTTTGTACAATGAAGAACGACCTCAAATTCATCCTACATTCGTGTCCACGTTTATTCTTTTATATTGCAGGAGCCGTCAACAAATTTCGTGGCTAAAAGGCACAACAGATGTAATCTGTGTTCAAGTAACGCATAGAATGTTCCGTGTCCACGTTTAATGTGCCTGCTGTTGGCAGTTCTGTTTGTGGCTCAGACACAAGTTCTCTTTCAGTGTGGAGAAACTTACATTTATTTTTCTAGATTCTGTCCTTGTAACACAATTGCCGCATCCTCCAGAGCGCGTGTCCACTTCCTTCCTGGTTTGCGTTACGTAGGATGTAGCATGACAGACAATGATTTCTGTTACCGCACAAAATTGGCATTACTTCCTCTCATGTCTTAGCTGTAAGGCTTCTTCGTATCCAGACAAGAAACAACATGAAGATAAATACATTCCATCCACGCCGACAAGGCTTCGAACTAATTCATACCCAGATGTGTGCCACCGGCGCCGTAAGACATCTGCACGGGCCGAAATATTATGATTTTACCCCCTCGAGGACCATTTGACCCGACCCAGTCCAAGTTCGAGGTTTGCCTTCAAATGTTACCTAAGCCCGAATTCATTTATTCCAGACCGAATGAAGCCTGATCTGAATCACCGCTGTGATAACCTCAAATCCTACGAAGCCTGATCTGTTTACAGCGTATTAATGCA